TTTTCACTCCTCTTTTTATTCTACTACATTTTCTACATTCATCCAATAGGTCATTTCCAAGTTGCCTTTTGCCTGTGTCAAAACGAGTCTAAATATGAAACCATTCATATGACTTCCACCTACAGGTTCATTTTTCATGCCAATCAAACTCAGGTTTCACACGAAGAATCGTTGTGAAACAAACGCACAACGAAACGTTCATCCATGAGCTGCCTCACAGGGGCCTTTGATTTCGTTTTATCACCGTTTCTTATTTTACTCTCGCTGTTCTGTTGGCTCAGGATCAGTAACAAGACAGTGCAGTATGACGTGTATCAACTCTGAAGATGGAGAAAGTGAGTTTGAATAACGTGCAATTGGAATTACTGGCTCGAAATCAACCCAGTTTGAAACCATACTTTTACGGCACCCTTCCTTGCGATCAACTACCCGACAAACTGGAAAGCAAGGACCCGTGGGTTACATCGTCAACATGGATCCTCACAATCGACCCAGTTGCCATTGGATCAGTCTGTGGACGTATGACCACCTCTGTGAGATCATGGACAGTTACGCCTTGCCTTTAGAAACATACTTGACAACCCGACTCTTACAAGATTGGTTAGATTGACATTGGAAGTACATGATGCAGAATGGACAGAGTCTTCAGTCGCTCTAGTCAGTTGTGGCGATTAGGCCTTGATTTTTTGATCGATCGTTCTTGAGGCAAGAGTATGACAAGTTTTTGAATTGTTTCAATAAGCACGATTACATGCATGATCACAAAGTAGGTCAGATGTTAAAGAAACTGATCAAAAAAGAAGTGGGATGGGTTCAAGCGTGTAAGTACGACTATCAACAAAATGCCTGCTCCTCTCGTTGTGACTTCAGACATTTGTTGTTATGACTGTTGGTTTGACATTATTAAAAAAACGTTCATTTACTGTGCACACTGGAGATTATACGCCCTCCACGTGCCGCCATCTTGTTTTTCTGCGCAAAGGCCCATGGTCCAAAAACCGCAAGAGAGTTGGGTTAGAATACGGGCATTTTGTTCAAAACTGGTGATAAATATGATTTCTGTTTGTCCGCCATGTTGACAAGGAAGGCTTGAGCTTTACAATGATATCTAAACTATGCGAGAAAACAGATTCTAGACGTTTTTACTTGCAATGATTGGTAAACGCTGTTAACATGTTATTTTGTCGTTGTTTTGAGGGATATTCTTGGCTTTATAAGGCATATTTCAAAAAAGTGAAATGATGGGAATGTTTTCAATGTAATCGGCCTCTGTTATGTAAAATTTGGTGCTGTTTGATCCATCCGCAGGGATTTTAGACCAAGCACATAAAGCGAGGAAAGCATGTTTCAACATTGTGTCTTTTGCAAGGGCTAAAAGGCTCGCGAAAGAGGAAGCTGTTGCAAGTGCAGTAAGGAAATCCACTGAATTGCAGCCCATAAAGGAGAGCTGGGTGGAAATATGTGCTGAGGTTGAATATGAAATACATGCATTAAAACTTAAGGTAGGTTATTTTCATTTACATGGTAGATAATTATTCTCACCGGAGTCTAATGAGGGAGGATTGCTAAAAGCAGGAAGAGTCAAACTGTTGTTATTTTTAGCCCTTGAAGAGGATTTGATTAATAACATATTTTTATTTATTTGTTTGTTGGATGGTTTATTTATTTATTTATTTATTTACTTCGTTTTCCATCCTTATGGGGGATTCTTAATTATATATTAATTTATTATTTCATCCATTCATGCACCCACTATTCCTTTTTTAAAATGCTAATATTAGCTACTCTGGCGTGATACAATACCTAAGATCATGTCACTTGCTAGGAAAGGTTGTGGTAGCAAACACCCTTGGTCATTTATATCTTGTAAGTATGGGTTTCCTAAAATAATTAGATTATAACATGTTTATTTTTTATATGTTGCAGAGAGGCTTGCTTGAAAACCAAAAAGTCCATCTACCAAGAGAATCAACAGTTCAACAGGTCACTAGCTTCAAAGATGGTAATAGTGAAGAGTTGGATCTCCCTCCAAGTTCAGGAAGACAAAGAAGGCTGCTAACTATGCAAAGTGCTTTTAAAATTCATGGCAATTCAAGCTTGTCACCTTCAAAGAAAAGTATCAGAAAGTACCCCTATAGCATGAGTTTCTATCCCTTGTTTGATTTGGCTTAATCTTTAAAGTCACACTAGTGGCTCGTCACGCACTCTTAAGTTGTCTCA